GTCCATCTCAGTTTCAAGCTCTTAAGAACAACCTGCCTGTTTGTGTTGCTCTGGTTTTGTTATGTCTACCTCAGATTGGCACAGGAAAAGCACTATTTCTAAATCTTTAAGAGATCACAAATATTATGTTGTTGGTTTGATTCAGGGGGTGTGTGATTTATCTTCAAGCTGTACAGTCCATGAAAACCCTAAAAAGAGATGATCTGCACCTTATTGTACTTATTGACAAATACACGACCTGCAAACTTTATACAGGCTTTCTCATTTAAAAAAAAACAACTAAGGCTGTCATAATTATCTTTGTAAATGTTTGTAATGAAAGAGGAACAGAGATCATTTAACACGAGTGGATTTAGATTTCATGATATTATGAACTCATCGGTGTCTTACTCAGTTTTTTGTTTTTTTAACAGAGCAGCATCACAGACGTGCACACACTGAAATCGTGGCTCGCTTTGTGTAAGCTCTCAGTTCTGCATGATGACTTAACGGGCCGCCTTCGGCTCTGCCACCGTTTCCCTCCCATGTTTTGAAGTCTTCATATGTGATGGTTGTGAATGTGTGCCTTAGGCCAACATTGTGACACGCACCATGTATTACCAGTCAGGCCCACCTGAGAGAAAAATAATGTCGTTTATTGTTCACATGCATCAGTTGATTTTCTTACTCATCATCATGACGAACCTAAATAAAATCTACAGTATGTTTCTATTCACTTGTGTGTGTTTGATCTGTTTAGTATGGAAGCACGTTGCCACCAGTTAAAAAAATAAAAATGAAAACTTGGCTTTGTTGAGATTTTTTTTTTACCATAAAAAGTCAAAATTATGAGATTCAAGGATGCATCGCGGTCACGTTGAAGACTACATTCAAGGAATGTACATACAGGCCCCTGGAGGAGGTCACAGAATAAACTACTTGAGCAAGGGACACGATAGACAAAGAACATTTTGATCTTTATCTCATTTTTATGACTTTTTATCTCATTTTTATGGTCAAAATCTCAACAAACCCAAATTTTAAATTTTTATTTTAACTGGCAGAAATAGGCTTCTGAGGGCAAGTTTAGGGACAAGAAACTCCTGCAACCATTCTGTTATTATTTATTTATTAAAAAATCAATAAATTATTGCTATGAAGAAATATAGATTTTTTTTAAGTTTATTGAAGTTCAAAGTAAGACAGCCATTGGCAAATTAATCTCATCTAAAGGCCCATTTAGGGGCGTGTTCTAAGTCTTTCCATAGGACTCATTCACATGATTTTTGTTAGCAGTTCCACGGCTGCTTTGAAATTAGAATTAAATATTTTCATCCATTGTCTTATAATGTGAGACAACAAGCAAACTCCCTCTGGTTATGAAGAACATGAGGTATGATCTAAAACTCAAGAAGATCATCATGTGTCATGAAGTTCTTAAATATGACTTTAAAAGTCTGATATCAGAGAGCATGGGGGAAAGAAACTGTTAAAAAAAAAAGAATGAAATGAACAACTTTGAAAATATAATCAGATATTTATTTTACACTAATGCAGCAGCTGCCATTAAAGGCAAAACATTTAGTTTGAAAAAAGGATTCTAGTGCTGGTACTGTTATTTACAGAGCGGCAGGAGACAGTGAAGTGCACGTTGACAGCAGAGGAGTTGATGATGGTTCAGATCTGTGACGACTCCAGCCACAGGGAGGAGCTCTTGACCCGCGGCTGCTCAGAGTCCAGCTTCAGCAGCGCCGTCACAGCGCCCTCTATCTTTGACATCCACACTCTCTGGAAGAAGTCACACAGGAAGGAGGAGTTTCAGGAAGAGAACTGACATTCGTTTTACCATGAAGAGAAGTCAGCAACTTTTGGATTCTTTTACATGTGTAATATAAAAACAGTTATTATGAGCCATGATCCCAGACACACAAAAACAGCCTCAAAAGTGACTTCAAAATGTTTCTTTGTTTACAAAAAAAACCTCAGAAATTAAAGTCTTTATCTGTGATTTATAGTAGTATAAGTATCTCCTCTGAAAATAACTCTGAGTCATGACTGTCTACAATGGGTGTAACACCCGAGTCCCACTGTCTGTGATGTTTTCAGAGTTTTCAGAGTCCTATCTTCACTTTGTTTACATCGCCGGGACGGCCGGCTGACTCCTCCCCTCGTGTATAAAAGTTGTTTAATTGAGGGACTAGAGAAAAGAAGAATAACATACTGTACTCACTGCTTAACTGTGTTTCTAGATCACGCTCATTTCAGGTAAATTTACATGCAGTGTGAAGATACCAGCAGAATAAAGATCGCTAGCATTAGCATGCTAACACAACAATGCAGCGCCAGTTGTTTTGGTTTCATGCTGGTGCTCAAGGGCGACATCTGCTGGATCAAAACATCACATATAAAGCCTTTAACATATGTAGGAATGTTAACTCTAATATAAATGGCATATCATTTAAAAACTAATGTTGGTTCCTAACTATGTGGCACTTAATAAAATGTCTTATATGACACATGACTACAACTACAGTCCTCTAAACTCACACAAAACAACTTGGCATTATTAGGATTTTGGTGAATTTGCTGCACAGAGCAGGTCTTTGTTTGGTTGTCATTTTGAAGCAGTTGAGAACGTCCTGGTTGAAGCACCCTACCTTGGCAGCTTCTGATGCAGCCTGCAGGATGAACACGCCGATACACTGCTGGTAGCGGTTCTGGTGCATGATGATGAATGAATGAGGCAGACCTGATGCTACAAAACAGACAAAACAAAAAATGACAAAACATGAACTGTAACACACAATAATTACCCAGCAGCAACATATCAACCAAAAGAAAACGTAATAAGTAAAAGAAGACACTTGTTTTGATTCTGAATATCAGACTCCATGTGTCCTCTGTGTAGAAAATGTTAACTTGCTTAAACTCCAGAAAACAAAAATCTGAAAGAATCTTTTTATTACTGGATGCGTTGAGCTGATCGATGTTCTTCAGCTGAAGTCGGTCCAGGGAGACGGGCTGGTCCAGAACTGTGAAGGTGGACCCCTCCTTCAGCAGCTGGCCCAGCTCCATGTTCAGAGGCGGCCTCAGAGGATTCTGCTCAGGACCGACGGACCTCTGCACAGAAGAACAACAATCTATGAAGTACACATCTATCCCTTCCTTTTATTCATTTGAACCTTTTTTTTAAATCTTTTCTTCTTTAAATGTTTTAGTCCTTTAAATGTTTCCCTTCCTGTATTCATTTTACTGCTCTCAGTCTTTTTAAATTCCTCCTCCTTTTATGGTTTAACTCTTCAGCTCTCTGTTGTTTATTCATTTAACCGATCTCCTGTTGATCTCTTCTTTTTATCTTCACTCTGTGTTTACAGCCTGTGATGTCTTCCCACTCTCCCTCTATTTTCATTTTGTTCTAATTTTAAACTCATTTTCCTTCATTGTATTGAACTGCCTCTCCATACCTGCCTGTTGAATCTTATTCCTGTTATTTACAGTTTTGCCCTCTCTGTTGATCTCTGTTCTGTTGTTTACCTTCTTGTTCCTCTTTATCTTTGTGATCAGCAGGAATTCATCGAACAGGAACAGGTAAACGTCGACCAGCTTCGTGTTCTCTACGAGCACCAGTTTCCCGTCGTGCAGCAGACTTCTGTGAGAGATGAGATTCTCCAGAGTGACGGCCTTTAACAGATGTTTCAGGTTCTGAAAGACAGGTAGTTAAAGATAAGCACATTTTCAACTTCTTGACTTTTAAACTGAGAGATTAAAAGTTCAGAAGTTTCAAAGTTCACAGCTAATGACAGCCTGCACAGAAATATGTGAAACACTTTCAAACACTTTGCTCAGATATCTGATTTCACATCCAGATAAATTGATTGCATCTGTTTATCTGCACACAGTAAAGGTATCAGAGGATGACAGCTCAGTAACATTTTAACATTAAGACATGAGCTGACAGACCTCAGGGACGAAGGCCGCTTGTCTCTCTCCCACACAGGAAGCCACACCAGGGCGTCTCTCAGCTGTTTCACCTTCTGGTAGTTGTCGAGCCACTTCACCTTTCCTTCTAAATCACCTGGAAGCAGACAGCCGTCATTTTTAATAAAGAGACACACAACAGCGACTGAAAAGCACTGTGCTGCATTTCAAAATAAAAGCATAAATGTATTTTCCTCCTTCCTAAGCGCGGGGTGGGAGCCTGGATGTGAGCAGCTGTTGTCTTTTCCTTTTATAGATCAAGTGGAGCAGTGTGTGTGTGTGTGTGTGTGTGTGTGTGTGTGTGTGTGTGTGTGTGTGTGTGTGTGTGTGTAATTCTGTCTCTTGTCTCTGTTTTTCCTATTTACTTGTGTTGTATACACATAACGACTTTCATTCCAGTTAATGTTGTTTGTTCATTTATTTTTTTATTTTATTTATGTTTGTCTCGTCATTTTGTATTATTATTATTATTTATTTTTTGATACTACTCTTCTCAAATGTATTTATTTTTATGTAGTTATTGTATTTAATTTTTTTGTGAGTTTTCCACTCTTGCACTTTTATTCTAAGAGGTCTATTTGTTGGACTGGGAGGGTTGTTTATAGGGAGAAGTGATACTGGATTTTTTTTAATGTTTCTGGGGAAAAAAAGAAAAATGTTGATGTGCATCCCAATTGCAGTGTATGTCTTGAACTTACTTTAATAAAAATATGTTGAAAAAAAAAAGCATGAATGTATTCATTCCTTTAGTTGAATTAAAGTGGTGCCACATAGCTAATTGTTTTAATCTTGTTGTGTTTTCTTGTTTTAGAATGGTTGCTGCCCAGCGCGGGCGTGGCTGTATCGTGACAGATTGCAGTACACTCAACAGTTACAGTAAATATCCCCCCCCCCCCACACACACACCCAGAGGACATTAACCTTTCACATCCAAGCCTCGTCATCTGATCGGCCCGGCTGCCGCACCTTCTTTAAATGGTTATGGGAAAGTGTGCGGTTCAAAGATTTGTGAGCCGGCGCTGTTTGCATGTGTGTGTGTGTTCAGTTGAACAGAGTGACAGTGAGGTGCATCGCTGCAGCACATTTCCCACAGCCCGTCCCTCGAGTTTCCACAGTAAACCAACACAACAGGTCTGCAGCAGGCGGAGGCATGCAGAGCAGGAGAAACGGTCACAGCTGCTGGCGGCTGGCCAAGACTTTGCAGCATGTTTTTGAAGACACAAACAGGGTGTTGGTGTTGATGGATATCACCTCATTTACATCTGCTTACAATGCAACTTTATCTTAATGTGTTTGTAAAAGCTCCAACAGCTGACTGAGGAAACACCTGAGAGGAATCCTAACTGATCTAGTCTGCTGATCAGGCACTACTTGCGCATGTTTTTCTAGTTGTACTTTGTTTTCAATAAAAAGGGGGAGGAGCTCATGTTTTGTGTATGTCGCTCACATATAGATGTGTCCACTTGCTCCGCGATAACCTGCAGGCCTCTGGTCTCGTCCTCCGCCTGGCATCTCTTTGTAATATTCCGCAGCAGCAGCGGATATCGAGTTAGCCTCTGCAGCGGCACCACCAGCAGGTCACGCAGTTGCAGCCTCCGGCACTGCTCGTTCCTCTCACACCACTTTGGAGAAACAAAAAAAAAAGGGGGGGAGAGAAAGAAGGAGGTCAGAGGGGTGAAAGAACTCGTCACAGAGTTGGAACGGACGGACGGGCGATGGTCCGAGTACATTTACACATACAAGGAATTTGACTTTTGACTGAATTTGAAAACTTTTGAATTTGAATTGAATGAATTTGAATCTGACTTGGTGTGTTGGTGCTAAACAATTAACAAGGAAATAAAGCAGAACTAGCAACAACTTAAATAATACAGAATAAGAAGATATTACAATATATAAAATAGAATTTAAAAATATAAAAAATTAAAAACACAAAATGTACAAAAGGTGTGATGTAGGAGCTGTGCAGTGGACTATGAGGAAAAAGAAGGTAACTCAAAGTAAACATGGTGAGATTTCTTCATATGGGACACTCAACTGGTTGTTTAAGGAGAAATGTTTCAGTGTGTCCTCCTCTTAAAATTTCACAATCTCTGCATTCTGCATTTTTAAAGGTACATAGCGTCCCCGTCAGCGCTCTGACTCCCCTCAGTGACTTTCACTCCTGTACCTTCACGTAGCATCCAAAGTCCTCCCGGGACTTCAGGCTGTCCAGATAAAGCAGAGCCGTGGAGTAGTTGAGGCAGTACTTCTGCAGGCAGTGACAAACGCTCTCCCTGAAAGCCTGCCAACAGATAAGGAGAATTATACAACCACCGGGAAGCAGACGGCTACGGGTCACATCGGCCAATAAGCAGCTAATTAACTGCTCATAAAAAAATTAAAGAAAACAAGAAGAAGATGAAAATCTAGATTAAAGTACAAGACATTGAATATGTGTGGAATATATTCCAAAGCTTATAATAAAGAGTTTTTTGGGGGGGCAGAATGTATCAGAACAATGAAAATCTTTTCAATTACGTCTGTAGTTTTATTTTGAAAGTGACGATTTATTTTTGGTTTGTTTGTAGGATAGATGAGCACAAATCAAAACAGTTACTTAAAAGTGGTTATACATGTGTTTTAAAATGTAATTATGTGAAAGTCTAATGTAGCTACTGATCAGCTAAGAACACATGAACAGGAAGCTGTATAATTATGGGCTTACTAATTGTCATTATAAAAATCTCTTATTTATGATGTTAATCTCAACGAGGGTTTCCTGGTTAAATACATTTAATTTAAAAAAAAAATCATTTTGCCTCCTCAGCCTGTGATTATAAAGGACATTATGTTGTTACTAAAACAGATTGTGACACATGTTCAGTAAATCCAGTTCAGAATCAGTCCTGCAGGATTTTATACATTTTCTAAAGTTTGCCCTGAGAGCATGGAAGCATTTTTTGGTCTCTGAGGTCTTAGCTCTGGAGTTTTACAGCCACTCCAGCACATCCTGCAGTCAGACGCAGTGTGTGTGTCGGTGTGTGTGTGTGTGTGTGTCCACGTGTGTGTGTCCCTCACTTGCCTTGCTCAGCAGCTCCAGCAGGGTGGGCCCGCCACCCTCACTAATCTCCAACATGTCCTTGATGACACGCAGGAGGTTGTTCAGGAAACCAAAGCTCACCTGTGGCAGGAAAAAACCCCTTACTATCAAGTATCAAATGTCCCTGACAGGAAACACTCATAACTCTGTTTACTGTTGTTGAAAAGAGGAGAAGTGACAGAAAAGAGAGCAGCTGAGAACTGCTCCCTTACGTAATGCCCACTTGCTATTTTTGTCTTTTTTTTGTCTTTTTGCCCATTTCACATCTATTATTGAAATAATAAATAATAGATGTGAAATGATATCTATTATTTAGATAATAAATAATAGATAGATAATAACAGACCTTGAAAACAGCAGCTGCTCCATTTCTGTTTACTCTTCTTTTAAAATGCAGCTGCAAAGTTTTCAATGAACACTTTAGAGGTGACCTACAATGCTTTCTGTTTCGAAGAAGAACATACAGCCTGCATACAGGGAGACCAGTACGGCTGCTATAACTGGAATAAAGGAACATTTTTAAACTGAAAACATGGAAATGTGCTCCCAAAATAAATGTTTCCAATTATACAGTAAACATGAAGAGAAAATGACATGCCAGGGGGGAAAAAGAAAATCAACAGAGGGATATGTTTATGTTGAGCACCTATTGTTTTAGTTTGAAATAAAAATGCTTTTTCTGTTTAAAAAGAAATAATGTATGTTTAGGACTGTTTTCTGACCAGCAGAAAGTCAGACTGCAGACACACATCGTGTGCTGTCTCTTCAGTCCATCTGATGTTCTCCTAACTCAAGTTGCTGCTGTACTTTCCATCCACTGAGCACTTTGGTGGACGCAACAGTGGGATTTATAGTTTTTATTTTCTGATAATATTTTTTAGTTATCATAAAGTTAAACACTGCTAACTAACATAATAATATCAAATCAAGATAAATATAAATTAAAGCGATCCCTATGAATGACCCAGTCCTTCAGTTTAGGTCACTTTGTTTTTTTGAACCACTAAGTGAAGTGTAGAGAAGTCAGATAAAAACACACCTCTGTTGTTTGAATGTGAATGAAAAGACAGAGAGTGGTTCAGTGTCTAAAATAAGAATGATCAGCAGTTAGGTTGGACTCATTACATTCTGTCCCCGAGGGGAA